TAACAAGTTCATTAATACCGACATTAAGAAGTTCATTAATACCGACATTAACAAGTTCATTAATACCGACATTAATAAGTTCATTAATACCGACATTAACAAGTTCATTAACACCAACATTAACAAGTTCATTAATACCAGCATTAACAAGATCATTAATACCGACATTAACAAGATCATTAACACCAACATTAACAAGTTCATTAATACCAGCATTAACAAGATCATTAATACCGACATTAACAAGATCATTAATACCGACATTAACGAGTTCATTAATACCGACATTAATAAGTTCATTAATACCAACATTAACAAGTTCATTAATACCAACATTAACAAGTTCATTAATACCGACATTATTAAGTTCATTAATACCGACATTAATAAGTTCATTAATACCGACATTAACAAGTTCATTAATACCGACATTAACAAGTTCATTAATACCGACATTAACAAGTTAATTAATACCAACATTAACAAGTTAATTAATACCGACATTAACAAGTTCATTAATACCGACATTAACAAGTTCATTAATATCAGCATTAACAAGTTCATTAATACCGACATTAACAAGTTCATTAATACCGACATTAACAAGTTAATTAATACCGACATTAACAAGTTAATTAATACCAACATTAACAAGTTAATTAATACCAACTATTTCGTGAGATCTGATAAATATTATACAGAAATATGTTTTTAGTATTCCGTCAAAAAGCCTATACTTTATGCATAATCAGGCATACAAGAGTATTTAGTTAGGATACTGAGATATATAAGATCGATATAATTACTAACTGGTCTAAGCTTATAAGTGTGCCTAGTTAGGATATATAAGATCGATATAATTACTAACTAGTCTAGGCTTATAAGTGTGCCTAGTTAGGATATATAAGATCGATATAATTACTAACTAGTCTAGGCTTATAAGTGTGCCTAGTTATGATATATAAGATAGATATAATTACAAACTAGTCTAGGCTTATAAGTATGCCTAGTTAGGATATATAAGATATAGGAAAAATCGATATGGTTAATGTAGTTTATATAAGAGTGTTTAAATTCTGACACTATACACTGTTTCTTGGAGTTGTATCAGTAGAACGCGAATTCTTTATAGTATAATATAATCTTTATACATACGTACATGTTTAATTAATACGAATTAATACGATTAATACGATTTCGGTATATTAAACAAAGCAATGTATCTATTAGTATTACAAATTTAACTTCGAGTCCTACTTATGTTAAATGTATTATCTTAACATACTATATACCCGTATCGTATATTTCAAATTTTACGTCTCTGGATTATTCAGGGCAGTCCTCTTCAGTTGAAGCTACGTCATCTCTCGATTATCCTACCGACTCCAGAGAAGACACTCCTTCTTTAGACCCTATCCAGGGTAATTCTATAAACATGTTACATCCAGACGTTCTCACTCCCGAGTTAGATTCTGATTCTGATGAAAGCCTGAACTTATTGTCGTCATTATTAATATCAACAGGTATTTATATAATAAGATGATAGTTTTAAAGTGAAATTAGACACTTTTCTTAATTTAGATGAAAATAAAATCAGGGCTTATTCACGATAGATATAATGATTCCTATACCTTTTAATTGACGCGTTTAAAATTAAAAGCTCAACTGTTTTAATGGTTTTTATGGTTGGACGGGTTCTTTTGGATTATTCGCGAAAAGAATGAAATAAAGTACAGCTAACGATAACAAAAACGTTTTGTTTCTTCAACTTCAAATTCCGTGGTTAGTATATTACTGATAGGCTTAACTTCACAAATTAAACTACGTATAAACAGAAATTTTACTTACTTTTCTAATTTATTATTCCTATTTCGTACGGAAATGCTAGCTCACTAATCATAGCATTAAACTAATAAACTTACTAACTCAATAAGCTCTTTAATTAACTCTACTTTAATTCATTTATTTATGTGGCTCAACTTGTTTCCCAAATTTTGAAGAAATCTTCAGACATTAAGGCCACGCCCTACCATGTTATCTGAACTTCCTTCTGACTTAACAACAACATATTTTCTTGAAACGCCTGGGTTGAAAATGAAGACTATAACGCTATTTAATATGATCCTGAAAAAACTCCTAATATATTGTTCGAACATTTTTAATAAGCCTATCGATAAAATAAAATAAAACCGTCCAAATTCGTTACTTATCTATCTGCTTGTTAATAAAAATTAAGTAAACTGGTTGTAACTAAAAAAAGGCATTTTTGTATTATTATTTAGAAGCTGACGCAACCGTTCCAACGTTTACCCCAGAAGAACTCTTTGAGCTCGAAAATTCTATAAATAATGCACTGAAATCTTCTAGTCCTCAAGTAATCACCACAAGCTCTGAAGACCAGTCTCTTCTAATAACCAATACATTAGATGGATCACATGTCAGATCTGAAGAATCAGAAATACCGAAAGACATTTCAAGTGAACCACTTAACTCTGACAACGACGAATATAATCTAAAGACACTTTTTACTACGTTTACTCTTTATACAACACTGTTCTCGGGAAGTTCCCCTATAGTTTCAAGTTTTGAGAAGGTAGTTTCGGAAGTGGTTACCTTCCCTGTTACAGAAGAAATATTTTTTCTCAGCACTCCGTCTTTGTCGGACACTCGACCTCTCGAGAGTTTATCTATTTTAGTCGAAACAAGTGAAATACTTAAAACTAGTACCATCTTTAGCACGTCTACGTTCTTTGCTACTCTTTTCAATGGCACAAGCTCATTTGTTTCGCCCATAGAAGATGTTCACTCTGAAGTGTACACCATTACTGAGCCTGTTACTTTTACTCGTACGCTTAGTTCAACATCTACGCCTCTTCCAACACCAGTTCAACCTTCGCAACCCATAGAACCAACCCCGGTGTATTCCACTGTGACAGAATACACCACTTATACCAACTTCGTTACTTTGTTCCAAGAAGATTCATCCATAATCTCAAATATTGAAGAAGTGGTCTCTAACATATACACAATTACTCTACACGGTTCTGTTGTAGATTTAAGTACCACTGAGCCAGCAACGACTAGTAGCCCTACACCTCCAATAGTTTCTAGTAGTTCTTTAAAACCATCTGTTACCATCTTCCAACCCACAACCAGCAGTTCTTTGTCCAATGTGGATGACTATGTGCCATCTGTTGAGACATATTCATCAATCATTGACAGCAGTGGGATGGTGGAAGTTCCAAAGAGCTCCACGTTTTCTTCACCAATCACAAGTCCTACTATTGTTAGCAGTACTTCGAAAAGTACCGAAGAACCTGAAGTGGTGATCACGAGAACCACCACTCAAACTGTTTATTCCACAGACACTCACTACATCACCCTCTTCAGTGGCATAAAAACAATACTGTCGTCGATTGAAGATGTGCATTCCAAACTGATAGCGAAAACCGTCACGGAGACAATCAAAGGTTCCATTACTCTTAATGCTATAGTTTCAAGTAGCATAAAAGAAATATTCTTACCAAAAACAACACATTTTGATGCTTCCAAAGCAGAATCTGAGCGGCTACCCAAAGTTTCTTATCCAAAACTTGTACCGTCTTTACAGAAATATCTTACCACTTATACTTACTTCACGACTTTAACGAGTGGCACCAACACCATTGTGTCCAGCAAGGAAGAGGTAGCAACTTCGTACATCACCCTTTTTGTTCCAGAATCGTCTCTTCTCAAGAATAGCGAACTTACTACGACCTCTATGACGAAACCATCAGTGTCCTACATAACCACAACCGAATACAGTACCTATACATTCTTTACCACGTTGTTTAATGGTGACGACCAAGTGGTCATTACAAATGAGCAAGTTATTCCACAAGTTAGAACGTCAAAGATAACAATATCATCGGCAGATTTCTCCATTTCAACTACTACGCCTCTTTCCGAAAGTATTTTGACTTTCTTCTCCACGTATACCTACTATACTACGTTTGTAACTGGAACCAAAACAAAGATATCTTCGAATCTGAGCTCGGTCACACAGTTCGTAACAGTGCACCCAGCGGCTTCACAGGATAAAACAGAATCGAGTGACTTAATAATAGAGCCAACGCCTTCTGCAACTATGGTTACTGTACCAGCTTTCACCGACTCGCCAGAAACTGCAGTTATTTTAAGTAAATCGTCCTCTTTAGCAACTAGCATTACAAGCGTAGAAGACATTGGAGCTACAGAAAGTACAATGAGCATTGTGGATATAAAACAATCCATTTCTTCAGTAGCAGACAGTAGCGAGTTGGAAGATATAGTGAGTATTGTCACTATTGTGTCTTCCAGTGTTTCAACTGAAGAACACACACCAGACGCAGAGGGCACTTTTGCCTTAGAAGACGTTCCTGTAAGAGTAGAGACAAAGATTTCTGTTCAGACTAGCGTGTATGTGGAAAGTAACATTGCTTCTTCACAAGTAGAATCAAGTGGATCCAACGAGAAGGAAACTGTTATTGGGATACAACCCAGTAGCTCTTTAATTGTTGGTGACAAAGAAACACCCACCTCTGGAAATGACGAAACATTTCTTATTTCTAGTTTAGAATCTGTAGAACTTGACGAACAGGAAAAAGTGATTGTACCAACGGTTTCTGTTGGAAAAAGTCCTGTTGCTGAGATTAAAGAGACAAAAACATTAGCAGAAAAAACAAACAGAAGTTTTAACTCTATATTCAGTGGAACATCCACTAAAGTAATTGGTGGATCAACAGTTGTCTTCTTTACTAACTTTATATTACCAGGTTTAGACCAACCTTCTTCGTCAACATCAGCTGTATCTTCAACAGAATATAACGAAAGTAACATTTCTTCACTGGAAACGTCTGCTTTCATAATACCAACTTATGTTATTGACGAGGAAACAGGTGCTTTAAAACCAGCAGAAGACATGGCTGAAAATATAACTCAAATAAACTCGAATGGCACAAATGAATTTATAACAAAATTGAATGACTTTTATCAACCATCAGCTACGTTGGATTATGTGGAATTGCATAACGAAACAACTCCTGATGAAGACTATGATAACCAGTCGGGACCAATCATAGATTTGTCAGACCTTCTTGGAGGAAATGCTAATATAGATGGTAATCTGGCTGAGGCAGTAAAGGGTATTCTAAATAAAATTAATCTAACAGGAACTGGTGCCAATCAAACAAGAGAAAACATCTTAGGTGTAAAACAAAAAGAAATGGAGAGGGAATCCATTAGCATTGAAAAAGAACCAACAGGAAGAGTTGTAGATATGGCCAGAAATGAAGATACTAAGCCTGATGAAAGATTGACAGAGTCAGAGCTGTCATCTCATGAACAAGAATCTCGTGATAAAGAAACTCACATTTTCTCTGGAATAAAGACAATTTTCTTCGAACCAACACCTGTCTCCCTTGACCCATCTAGTCTTGAACCAAGAAGCGAAGACACGTTAGATATTGGAACTGTTTCTCAAGATAATGCTAAGGAGACTTCTACAGGTGCAGTTGGAGCAGAAGTAAGTACATCTACTATCTCCGGTTTTAAGACCGTATTTTTAGAAAGCTCCACAATGGAACTCCAACAAGGCTCCGACACAAAAACTTCTGAAACTGAATCATCAGTAGATCGCGAAACATCAGATCGAGCTAGAAAGATACTAGGAGAAGTACAGGTTTACGATGAGACCACGATCCTTGCAAGTGGTTCCAAGCTACTTGTACCTGACATTAAGCTTACTAATTCTAGTATGACACGGGATCCAGATGGACATATAACCATAACTAAGACGTCAACAGGAGCTAAAACAATATTTTTCCCTCTTCCTAACCAAGAGATCCAGGTTCCACACGTTGCTGAAGATACTTCTACACGTTATGTTACTAGTTTGGAGTCAGCAACCAGAACATTGACATTAACAACCACTAATATATATTATACTAGGGATAGTCCAATTACCGTAACTTCTGTCTTTACAACTACAATTCCACCGCGTACTTTTGTATCCACTATTATTGGGAGCAGAACGATTTTGGGCACGATACCCGAGCCAACCGAGTCAGTCAAGTTTGAAAAGTCAACAATAACCTCAAAATCGACAACCAAAGTTACGACGACAACGCTTGTCTTTAACTCCATTACTACAACAGTAGTACGTACATTAGTTCTGAGGACTGAAGACCTAACACCATCAGGAACATCTACCACAACTTCAACCAGAGCAACCGTGAATGTGTTCCAAGAAAATGCTACAGCCAAAGATTCGTCTGTAGATTCAACAACCCTCAATCCCAAGGAAAGCATCTCAACCAAAGATAGCTCATCTTCAACGTCAGTAGCATCGACGTCTCAAAACCTTCTTCCAAATTCAACAAATCCTGCAACTAAATCCACGGATTCTCCTCCGACAGAATCGACGACCTCAGTTAGAAAGTACCCGGATGACGTTTTTAACCAAGAATTATGCACCCCTGAATGTGATGTGACAAATCACGAACTGTGTAAGAAAATAGATGGCGCTTGGGCCTGTGAATGTAGACCCGGATATTCTCGAACAGAGAATACTTTACCTTGTGAAGGTAAAATTTATTAATTGATTGAAAGCTATATCGATGCATAAAATGTTAATATTAATAATATTTTTTTTTGTAATTTATCACGTGGACTGTGTTTTTATGGATTACCACTACTCTATTTGCTGAACCTGTGTCCCAGACCTGATGAAAAACTCAGCATAGAACCAAATTCATCATTTTAAGATCAAACAAAGACGGGATGAATTCCATAAAAACATAGTGCATGTATCAAATACACTACTGAAACCCATCTTCAAGATTATAGATTTTATTACAGTCTACTCAAACCCATCTTCAAGATTATAGATTTTATTACAGTCTACTCAAACCCATCTTCAAGATTATAGATTTTATTACAATTACTCAAACCCATCTTCAAGATTATAGATTTTATTACAATTTACTCAAACCCACCTTCAAGATTATAGATTTTATTTCAATTACTCAAACCCATCTTCAAGATTATAGATTTTATTACAATTACTCAAACCCATCTCAATATTATAGATTTTATTACAATTACTCAAACCCATCTTCAAGATTATAGATTTTATTACAATCAACAAATTAATATATATATATATCAGGCCCGTATGCAGAATGTTTGAAAGGGGGTTCTACTTTGTGAGATCAAGGACCAACACATAATCAGCATACAAGGATGCCACGGGAGATTTTGGGCATCGCCCCCCCCTCCGAGAATTAGTAAAAAAATAGATACTATGGGATTAAATATGGAAGCAATTTTGAATGCAATATAACTTAAACAATTACATGGCTGTTCACATAAAATCCACAAACATCCAATAAAAAGTCAACAAATCATCATTCTGTTGTAACACTGCATGGGGAGCTAGACTTATATTAACATAAATATGTATGTTTTATTATAGTAAAGTACTGTACTATCTACATACAGAGCAGTTATTAATGGCTAAATTATATTACTAATTTAAACAACTCTGTAAAACAATAGTATATTAGCTTTTTCAGTCATTGGCTGTCATATACGTACATGTATGCACTACTGAAATAACGTGGTAGCATGCTCCATTCTTCTGGGGTGCCTTTCCATAAATAACTTACATCCAGTTTCAATGTTGATAGCCAATGATTATGTATTAAAGCTAGAGCTGTCAGTCTTTCTTGGCCCGGCATGACCACGTGGTTAGGGAGCTTGACTCGCTATCTGAGGGTCGCTGGTTCGAATTCCCGTTCCATCAAACATGCTCGTCCCTTCAGCCGTGGGGGCATTAG